ATGCATTTAGTACAGGCGATATGGGGTCTCACTACATAGATCAGACTCATAGTGATGCTCCTGTTTCATCCTCCTCAGCTCTGGGATTACAAGCATGCACCATCAGGCCCAGAATCAGGGCTGGCTCAGCTCACCCCGGGCTGGTGCGGGGGATGTGGTTCCAGGAATCAAACCCTGAGCTTGCTTAAGCAGGCACTTAGCCTGTTGAGTTATCTCCCTGGCCCTTAAAGTGAGAACATTTTAGTACAAAGAAAATATCAAAACTAATTTTGAGTATATTAAAAAATATATAACATAATGGTATACGGCACAGTACTCATGCACGCTCAAGTCAATAGTTTTTTATTTATACTGAAACATGTATTAGGTCTTTCAAAAATGTGCCTGGGCAACTAGTATATTTGAGATGTTGTGCAGAATGCTGAGGATAGTATGAAGACCTTCAATTTCTTGGCATACACATCTCTCAGAAATCCCTAGATGATTGGGAAATGGAGCACGTTAATCTTTACTCTCCATTAATTTTGTGGCTTCTGACATAGGTGTGGCCATGAAGCTGCTGGACTGAGAGGCAGTGCCACTGCCCAGCCAGAGGGCTTTGCAGAGTGGGGTACAATCAGAAGATGTGAGAAGGAGGCAAGGTTTCAGGCACAGGGCACACAGCATGTGCAAAGGCCCACAAGTGGATGCTGCTACTGGAACAGAAAACTGATGGATATGGGAAAAGAGGCTTAGGTTGGAAACACGAGTGACCTTGAAAGCTGGACCCAAGAAGCCGACTGTAAAAGCCTCATGGATCATGCCAGGGCATTTCTTCGAGGAATAGTGATGGGTGCGAAACAGGTTATAGAGTTCAAAGAGTCAGGATTAGGATTCCCATCAAATGACAGTCTTTTGTGGTGAGTGGATTACATGGAAGGGAGACTCACAGATGGGCAAAGATTCAGGAGACTATGGCAAGAATTGTCCAGTGAGGAAAACAGTGGCCAGAACAGGCTCAGGCCCTATACAAATGTTATAGTGAATTCATTTGGTTGATAAAATAACTGTTGAATTTTTTCCTTGAATTAATTGGTCCTTGTGAAGCAAAAGCCTGGAATTTGTGCAGAGTGTGTAGTGGCTTATTTCGGAACTAAGCGTGGGCCACAGACAGAGTTTTTCCCCTTGACAACACAGGATTGGAGCAGCAAGACTGATGGGAACTTGCTCAGAGTGTGAGTGGCTGGGAGCGTGAGCCGCGGCGGCGGAGCAGGTTACTGAAGGCGGCACCGACCGTTGCAAGCCCAGTCCCTGTGGTGCTGCCCAGTTCCGCTCTTCCTTACGGGCAGGAAGCCAAGCAGCACTCAGCCTTTGTAAACACCTAGTGCCACAATGGAATTTCTTCCCGTTTTGCACACTAGTGCCCAGTGAGCATTTATTTTCACCTTTCTACTGGAAGTATCTCAAGAAATGCTATCTTCATACTTGTCGTGTCTTAGTCCATAACGTATCTGTAGCGGTGGTTGACATGACCATCCCTGAGGATACTTGCTTCCTTGTTTGTTTATAAGGGAAGCCCATACTTAAACTGCAGGTCTCATGGGCTCTAATAATGTACACTCCCTGCTTAGCAACTGAGGTTTTTATCTGATCCTTGAAAGGCTGTCCCCTTTAAGTAGATAAGTAGATAGAAAGACAGACAGACAGACAGACAGACAGACAGACAGAGATGGCTATATAGCTATACTGACATAGATAGAGATATATGGCTATATAGACAGATAAACATACAGTTATTAGGAACAAATTCTAAAACATGAATCAGTAAACCAGGGCTGGCCAGATAGCTCAGCAGATTAAAGCTCCTGCAAGCAGGCACAGGGACCAAGGGTTCAATCCCCAGACCTGCCATGCCAGCCCCACCCCCAGGGCACACTGAAATGCAAATTGAGACTGGACATGGTGGCACACATCTGTTATCCCAGTTCTTGGGAGGCTATAAACAGGAAAATCACTATGAGTCCAATCTAGTAGTGAGACCCTGAACACCCTGTAAACCCTTCCCTAAAATATACAAAATAAATCAGTAACCCATAGTTCAATGGACATATCTGACTGCCTAGTTTTGTATATACTGTAAAGTTTATTGGCATGTAGCCATTTTCATCCATTTATCTGTCACTTGTGGCTGCTTCCTGGCTACAGCGACAGAGTTGAGTAGTGACCGCAAAAGATTCCCCATGGGTTGCACAGCTGAAAATATGTACTACCTGGCCCTCTGTAGCTGATCTAAAGGAAAGAATCTTAAAGGTACTGGTGTTATGCTTTTATCTATAGAAAACTGGAAATCCTTTGGATTACCCACGTGTGACAAAAGGCATAGTGCCCCTGATCTCTGGGTCTGTTTTTCCACCAGCATCATGTATTACCTTAGTAAAACTAACCAGACTTTTTTCTGTGACTGTCTGGGAGCTGCATACTGGGTATGGGATGCCAACTAGAGCACGGTGGGTTTGGGGGGCTGAGGAGGATACTGTGATGTTTGACTCCGGTTGAACCTCATTTCCTACCACTAAATTCTTATACCTTACATGGTATGAATGACAAGTAGTAATCCAAACCAAGACTGAAATGTCAAAGCTATAACAGCTATGATAAATTGTCTATGTACAATTCAGTCAAAAATTTTAATGGTTACATCTTCAAAAAACAAATGTGAAGAATAAAATTGAGTGGACTTTATTATGTATATGAGTAAACTCAGGATGATAAAACCTGGACATCATTGTCATAGTTTTTCTGATTAGGTGGGGAGAAAAATTTAGTTTTCTTTAGGTATTCTAAACTCTATAAGAGTAATCCTTTGATTTTTAACAATCTCACAATAATGTAAACTCTTATAATATTCTACATATTAAGACTTGAAATCTTGATTTGTCTGGTTTCTGGTCTGAATCTATTGAGGGTAAGTATACTTTGTTCCTGATTGAACATGGTCAAAAAGAAAGGCTTAAAACAAATAAAAATAAAAAAGAAAGGTTTTATTTTCTCTTTCTCAGGAGTCCAGCCAGAGAGTGTGTACCTGAACTGCTTGTTAGCAGCTAGAATGCCAGACAAAGATACTTCAGCCCCTTATGAGTTCTGGTCCATCTTTGCCCATGCTATTGTTAAAGTTGTCATAATCCGTCTGGCTCCCATAGAACTAACGCTGAAATTCGTGAAAACACTCGTATTCTTCTTCATTTTTACTGTGCTTAGCATTATACTTTAGACAGAGATGCCACTCCCTAACTACATTTTGAATATCATGAAAACTATAAGCAGCTGTCTTTAAAGGTGTTAATAGCATATCAGTGTTCAAATGTAAGATACCGCTTTGTGACAGAAAGCATGCCTCAAGGAGGAGTGGTCTGCTCTAGTCTTCTAAATCTGATTAAGAAAAGATACTATTGGTCATGTTCAAATAAACAGTGCTTTTCTACTTTCTCTTTATTTTGTGAACTTACTTCCAGGCCAACCATTTAAACTGGATCCCAAATCTGCTCATCGAAAACTGAAGGTGTCCCATGATAATTTGACAGTAGAACGTGATGAGTCATCATCCAAAAAGAGCCATACACCTGAACGCTTCACTAGCCAAGGCAGCTATGGAGTGGCTGGAAATGTGTTCATCGACAGTGGCCGACATTACTGGGAAGTGGTCATAAGTGGAAGCACATGGTAGGCAACTTATAGCTATTGTTTCTCAATTGTAAAAGGGAACATTGCATTGTGTACTTCCTCATACTATCCACCCACACCAGCATCCATCCTGAAGAATCAAATGCAGAAAGGTTGTGTGGATCAGCTATTGTTACAGTAATGCTGTATAACAATTATGCCCAAACAGTGGCTTCAAACAACCCCCACTTATTAGTACTAACTCCCACATCTGTGGTTTAGTTGATCAGGGAAATCACAATGGGACTTTGCTTTTAGGTGTAGGTTGGCTCTAGTTCTTTTCTGTGTCCCTTTCTCTTCCTTCGATGCCTGAGCTATCCAGGCCATGTTTTTAGTAACCTAACAAGGGAAACATGTTTCAACCGTCTGCTTGCCTCTTGTTTTCTAAATTCCTATTGGCCAAAGCAACGTACAATATAGAGTTCTGGTTCCCAGAAGAGCTATAATTTCCAGACACTGCTCTTTCACACTTCAAAGCACAAGTTAACTCCCTGAAGCCCATGGGCAAGCCTGGCCCCAGTCCTGCTTTTACAAATAAGTAAGGTGCTGTGGGTCTCAGCCATGCCCATTCCTTTTGTTTATACTTGCCTTTGAGATCCAATGACACATTTGACTAGTTAAGACAGAATCCTGTGGTCTGTATAGATGAAAATATTTACTTTCTCTACCTTTAGAGAAAAGATTTGTCTAATTTCTACCTTAAAACACTAATCATCATCATTAAAAAATAAGCTATTTTCTGTTGCTTTGTATGTTTTGTGATTCAAGACTGAGTCAAGTAGTGCAAAAAGCCAACAGTTGAGTGAGTGGGGATTAAGCAAAGACAAGAGAACACAAGTAATTTCAAGAGGTCCATTAGAGCCAGCTCAGTGACTTTAGCCCATTGAGTTCTCCAAGAGTAAAGGATAAAGGCAGGATGCAATCTACATTGGAATTTCTTAACTCTGTAAAATTGGCCTTTCTAATGCCCAGTCACAAATGGCATCTCTCCCTTGGGCCATCCATCTCACAAATATCTGTTTACTATTGATCAACAGTTACTGATCTGTAATTTTTAACAAGCCTCCATATGACACAACTATATACCAGACAAAGCACTGATTTAAGCATTGTACAGATGTTAACTTATTTATTCATCATAACAGCCCTACAAGAGTAGATGCTAATAGTATCCTGTTTTGCAGGTGAGAGGACTGGGGCACATACCCAGTAGTGTAAAACTTTGAATTGAGCTC